CGTGAAAAAATAAAGAATTACAGCAATATGTACAACATGGTGGGAGGACATTCTGGTCAAGATAATCTTCACTCGAGACATAACGATCTTCACTCAGGAAGTTGTAATGCCAAGAACTCGTCCTTCCTCTTGAGATACTCATTAAACCGTAGGATGCCATAGCTGTGGGGTAAAACAAGATAGGAGTTGAAAATCTATTCAACATGAACTTAATCCAGAAATCAACAAGAGGGCAATAAAGATGTAAGAATTCTGAACTTATTTACTAGTACTTCAAACTGTGGTAAAAGTAATAACTAGATGACTCAAAGGATCAAACAAGTCTCCTTACTCCAGGAAGTCGAAGTCAATGGCGGAGAACCTGGCTTGGATGAGTGCCCACAGTCCCCAGAAGAAATGAGCAGCCTGCCAGAACAAAAACTCTTCTGTAAATTTTTTTCTGTTTGAGCCTTTATTTTCATAATCATAAAATACTCAAATCAGCCTGCTGGCCATTTATTGAGGTCATAAGGGAAGAGATCAAGGCACAAAAAAAACCATAACAAAATTCAAGTTACAAAAAATCCTGTGTATTATTTTTGGACATAGTATACATAGACTCCTTGCTTAAGTCCATTACACATGGCCCACCATGGCCTTTTCCAAGGTGTTCTGTTGTCTGAGTCTTTATAAGACTCTTTATAGTCTTTATAAGTCATATTCTTCTTAGATGCGTTCAGATTGGGAGTCATAGAAAGGTGTTGAATGTATGACAGGGGCTTAATATAATTTACTCACCAAGGCAAACTTGTTGACCTGGACATACAATATCTCCACCTCCCTGTCCGTGACTGGCTCTGGCCGGTCTGCGTGGAAGTATTGCAGGTAACTCCTGAGCCAGGTGAGCTGGAACTCCCTGTCTGGGTACAGGCTGTAGTCAACCTCATCTACACCTGCAGGGGAGAAAATCTTCATTTAGTTTATTTAGGACCAAGTTCTAACTAAAGTTCAGGACAAAAAAAACACACAAAATAGTCTCATTCATTCATTCTCTAAGTGGCTTATTTTCAATGTGAATGAGACTATTTTGTAGCCTCCTTCGCAGTCTTGTTGGGCATCGGCGTTATTTTTTCTCTGAGCGACGCTAGTAATATGCCGCCGCGAGGGACGATTTGCTGCCGAGGGACTTTTGCCACGGAGAGAAGGTTTCCGCGCTCCAACAAGACTGCTTCCAATCGGCGAGTTAAAAGGACCTCGGATTAAGCCAGCCTTTCATAGAGGCTATTAACATGTTCGTGCAGGTCCAATTCACATGTTCGCGCAGGTCCAATTCACATGTCCGCGCAAGGGTAATTCATAGATACGCATGACACGCGCTCGCCTTTGTCAACGGTTGGTTAACCGCTGGAAAGTTACAAGTTTTGGCTCGTCGATCAACGGGGCGTGAACACCACCCTGCACTGGTGGCGTTTATTGCGGGAAGTTCACACATCCATGCCAATCGCTCCTAAGTGTTTTTTGATAGCCCTTTTAACTCGCCGATTGGAAGCAGTCTTGTTGGAGCGCGGAAACCTTCTCTCCGTGGCAAAAGGCCCTCGGCAGCAAATCGTCCCTCGCGGCGGCATATTACTAGCGTCGCTCAGAGAAAAAATAACGCCGACGCCCAACAAGACTGCGAAGGAGGCTACTATTTTGTGTGTTTTTTAAACGGATTGGTCACATCTGTTGAAGGATGTCGTATGATTTTGATGTCATAGTATTTTCAAGCAGGTTGTAATAGAACATGCAAATAGTCAAACCTGCAAATTCATCGAAGTGGTTGGCAATGTCGTAGGCCTGGAAGTTGTAGCTGGCATACTCGTAGTCTATGAAGGTCACCTTGTCTGTGAAAAAAAAACACATTTAAAAAAATTCCTCCTCCCAACTGTGTGTTCCTTTGAAATTGTCAGTAACATCAGAAATTCCATCTACATGTACACATTAAGTCACATTTTTAAAAGCCACATTAGGTAAAGAGACTAAAGCTCTTCCAGACCTTCAGCCTCTGTGTAGACAATGTTTTTACAGAGCAGGTCATTATGACAGAAGACGACAGGTGAGTTGAGTGGCAGCAGCGCCCCCTTGAGACTCTCCATCTCCTGCTGCAGCTGGGAAGTGCTGGGGATCTCCTGCTGGTACCTACAGGATTGGGTGGGAGAGATACCTGTTAATATGGAAATTCATTTTTGCAATTGACTTTTCCACTCAACATCATGACATGATCATGCGAATATATGTTTACAATGTATCACAATGTACTACACTACAGAGTTCTTTCACCTGCAAACACAGCAAAAACCTCCTTACTGAGAAATTAAGTCCCACAGAAATAATTGAATTTACTGTAATGGGGCTAGAACACATCTGACAAATCTATGTCTAGTCTGAAAATATTACTAACTGGATTGTGTTATTATTTGACATTTTGTTGATCGCAGTCCTCAGGTATCCCTTTCTGGAGGGTTTTAAGAGGGTTGAAACACAATCCAGCCCCTCACCTTTGGTTTTTCTCAGCATCAGGGAAACTCTCTGGAATGAGGGTGAAGTATTTGGACATTTTAATGAAGAGGCTAGGCTCGGGGATCTTCCCATTGGCTGGCTGGATGTGGTGCATTCTGGCCATCTCTCTTCCGTTCAACCTGAGGAACATGGGTTGGAATCTTAAGATTTTCCACCAGGATTTTCTCCAACTCAGTAATTTTTTTCTGTCCTCTCAGCAAACCCATGCTCTCCTTCTTGCATAATTTGACCTACGTACTTCTGATATTTTTTGCATCTGACACACCCCTAAGATGAGAGAACAGCCATAATTTCAAGATTTTGTAAATACAAAAATGTTTAGAATCAACATGATAGCAACTAAAACCCAAAGTCAGTAAGTGATCAATTAATTTTCCTGCACCTAAAATAAATTTTAAAAAAAAGCTTTCGTTAAAATGTGTTACAGATTTAACAGCATCCAGTTTATCTCTTTACTTCAGCCCACTCCCCTGACAGACACCAGGCCCTGAATGTTGACAAATCACCCCTGGAAGCCCCCAGGGAAGGGAATTGCCCTGAGTGATGATAACAGAATACCAAGTGAGCACTTGGGCAGACTGCCAGCATTTATGGGACTAATAAGGGGGGAGGGGAAAAGTAGGTAATAAAACTGACATGCTGGCAGCTAGCAGATTAGTCAAGCCAATGAGATTAGTAATGACACCAAGGTGTTTGTATATGGTGGGGCCAGGGGTAGTCATGCAACTGTAGTTCATGTTCATGTACAGCCTATAAAGGCTGAGCTGTCTGCTTGAATATCATTGATTTGTTGGGGGATACAATGATGAAGTGGACATGGTCAACAGATAAATAGCATTCTGACATGGCTCAAGTACCCAGCCTGACCTCTACAACACAAGGGCGAAATATGTTGAATACATGTATTTGGAAAATTTGCAGAGAAGAGCACAGCCTTTCCTGATTGAACACAGGTTGTAGCAGAAGAGAGAACAAGAAATTAGATGAATATCTATGTACATTTCATATTATTCATGAATGCCATATGACACAGAGAAGCTCCTCACTATAATACTGGTACTAATATGTTATTATGCATGCACAGCTGCCATGTTTTTCCAAATCTGTTCAGGAGCAATACTACACCGATCCTGACTGCCCATCACAATTAGCAGTTGATCCAATGATAGCATGACAATTAGCAGTTAGACCAATCATGAATGAGAAAGTGACCTGCCTGTCTGTGAAATATTTGCATTTCTTATGTTCTTATTTTTGCATTTATATGTTTGGCTGCTCAAGGTGATTGGGGCTATGGGACTGGTCTATTTACAAACTAGTGGAGATACCGGGTATGGATGGTTACATCAGAATCGTCTTACCATACCTGGAGACTTTAGGGTCCCTGATGAGCTGTGTGTCCAGCACAACCCCATGTACGTAGCCATAGCAAAGGCCATTCGTGAACACACCATACAGCTCTGGAGCACAGCCATTGGCATGGAGAATCTGTGAACACAGAGTCTTCAACAGTCCAAAACTGATATTGAGACTGAGAGGATTGAATACAAATCATATGCTCTGTGATGAAACATTCATTTCAAATCATATACCAGTAATGTTAACCCAAAATACAGCCACTGGCTGTTGTTTCCTACACCAAATCTCTCCTGTTGTTTATCTGTTATAAAAAAATAGGGAAGGGACCTGACCTGCATGTTCTCTATCTCTGCCACCCTGTCCACCAGTAGTTCTGTCTTGTTGCCGTACACCCTGACCAGCACCATGTCTCTCTTATTCCCCTCCAGGTAACATCCCACCAGTTTGTTGGTGATGCCATCAGTGAACACCTGAACAATAAGAAATCAGAGATTTCAGACTTCCAGGGAGTATGCAATCCTCAGCTTTCCCCATATCTACCTCTGGCTACCAGCTAAACCTTTGATCTCCTGTCCTTTTGCCTATCAATCTTCCCCACCCATATGCTGTTAACCTACCAGATATACACACAGCTGACCCACCAAGAACAATACTTAGCATGAAAGTTAAAGCTTAGCCTTTATTTCATAAGAACAATACTTCTGTACCTAGAAGCTACAAGGCAACATCAATTACATCCAAAGACCGTGGTCCAAATACCATAGAACATTAAACATAAAACATATTTACTTTTACTTCAACACTAAGTATTAAAGAGGGCCTGTATGCCCTTTTTCGTTAACAGTTATGGGCTATTTTAATTCACCGTTAATCGTTGCCGGCCCGCTCTAATTCAACGTTAAGCGTTATCGGTATATTCATCGTGAAGCGTTATTGGTCGCTTTAATTCAACGTAAAACGTTATTTGTCATCCTAAATTCAGCGTTAATCGTTAAAAAATAATTCTTCGTTACGCCTAATTTTGCCTTTCAAAGTGCTAGAAAATGCGTCATTGAAGGTTTGAAAATCCAAAATTTCCCGGGGGAGAATGCCCCTGGACCCCCCTACATTGCTCGCGCGCAACACCATAATTTGCCTCTCAAAATGCGGGAAATTGCGTTTTTGAAGGCTAAAAAATCCTAAATTTCCAGGGGGAGCATCCTCCGGACCCCCTCAGATTGCCAGCGCCTACGGCGCTCCTCTCTCAAAATCCATCGGTAAGACTGGGCGAACGGGCAAAAGTCAAGCTGGGTAGAGCCCTGGCCGACTCGGACGCACTCCGGGACCAGGGCAGGTGGGAAACACAGGGAACACATACCTTTAATGCGTGCTTCATTACAATTTACATGTAAGGTATACGTAATTTTGTCAGTGATCACCTTTTCTCACAAAGCGAGATACCAAATCCAGTGCAGCTCGAAAAAAAAGCCTGTAAATTTACCATTAAGTGTTGCCGGCCGTCCTGAATTTACCGTTAAGCGTTATCGGCCCTGCTGAATTTAACGTTAACCGTTGCCAGGACCCCCACATGCAGACCCTCATTAAACCTTTACTGTGGATTTACCACATGTCAGCTGCAAGGTGTTTCTCCTAGATTGTTACCTTCGCCAAGAAGGTTATGTTTTCAGAGGCGTTCGTGTATGTGTGTGTTTGTGTGTGTGTGTGTCTGTAAACACGATAACTTGAGAAGGCCTTGATGGATTGTCTTGATACTTGGTAGGTGGGTAGGTCTTGATGAGACCTCAAAATGATTTGATTTTGGACCCCCTAGCGGCTTGTTATAGTACTGCACCTGAACTTCCGGTTTTGATATCTCATGATCTAGACATGCTATGGTGATGAAATTTGGATGGTAGGTAGCTCTTGGGCTAGGGAAGAAGTGACCTGAGTTTGGGCCCCCTAGCGGCTTGCTCTGGAACTGCAGGGATATATTCTTGAAAATATTCAAAAGGGGATAACTCAAGAACCGGTTGATGGATCGTCATGATTTTTGGTATGTAGGTAGCTTACGTGATGCTTAATATAATGATGTGACAATTATGCAAATATGGATGTAATTTGCATAATTTATGGGGAAATTCTATAAATCAGCTGCATTCCATGATAGGACAATTGAAGCTTGTGACATTGGTAACTGACAACGAGAGAAACACAGGCAGATATTGATTATGTTAATAATGACTTAATTTGCATAATTAATGAGAAAATTTTATAATTATGTAATGATAACTGCCTGGAATTTCATACTCGTGGTATTTGAAAGTTAAGATGAGGTGAACATCATTAAACATAATTTATTCAAATCAGGACCTCATTTGCATAATTTATTAGGAAAAACTAGAATACATTGTTTGTTAATATAAGACTGTCTTTTGGTTTAGATTATGATAAAATGATATAATTCATGAAAATTAGGTTCCTATTTGTTAAATCAGGGGGGAATAATCTAATGTATAATTTGTCAGTCATAAAGATTAACATCATTTGGCGAAGGTATGAGATCGGGGAACTCTAGTTTCAATCATGTGCTCAAAGTACTCTCCAAGCAGAGGTTTGGGTTTGTGGTTATTTTTGGCTTTTGCACTGGAATTTTTTTTCACCCATTGAAAAAAAAAATTCCAGTGCAAAAGAGAAACCCCGATAAAAAAAGCCTAAAAACATGCCTAAAATAACCCCAAACCTCTGCTTGGAGAGTAGATTAAAGTCAGATGACAGAACCCCAGGCAATGGAATTTTCCATCATGCTACCCTCCCTTTCCTTCTCACTTCCTGAACATGGCTCTGACATAAGTGGCATTGTACCAGTTCATGGCTTTATACAATGACCTTAAATCTAATGTTACATGTACATGATATATCATTGACATTGTAATACACATTATACATTGAATCTGTACTGTGTTGAATGATTGCACATTGTCGTAACTGAATTACTGTAATGCTCATCAAAAACAGATTATTGTGAAATGATATTGTCTTATATCATCAATTTATACAGTAAAAGGAAAATATGAAGACCAGGGAAGATTAAAAGTCTTGTTTGATGTACAAGGCCCATTATTATACTTCTGTTACAGTAAAGGCTGTTTAGTGTTTCGAAATTACAGAATTTCTTCCCATGCACACCAGAAAAATCAATATGTACATGTACAATTGAGGAGTCCTCCCATATCCTGCAGCTGAGCTAGTGCAAACATGTACTGCAAATTTGTTTACAGTTTAGTACTAGTAGTTGATTCATTCCTAAAGGTATAATATCTTATAATAGTCGTCCCTCTGTAAGACATCTGATCTGGAGCCGTGTAGTTCACATTTGAACTACTGTATTCAGACTATCATGACCGGTTTTGCCTGTACAGAGGCTTAATGACATGGGTTAACAAAGTTCTGTTACATATGCATATCCCTGGTAACATGATACTATACAATTACAGGTCATAATAGCATTACTTCATCATCTATTGTTCTAGAACTATTACAAATCTCATCTTTTGGGGTTAGCTTGAGAAATAAATCGACTCTACTTTATACTACATGTAACGTTAAGTACTGCAATTTTGATGTTTCTGCAGGAGGGAAAATGAGATTTTTTAATTCACGGATCGTTGACTGTAGTAATGCACTGGACACTGAAATACTTGTATTTGCAGTGTTATAAAAACTGAAAAAAATAAAGTAACGTTATGTACACTTTTGCAAAGGTATCTGGCATAAGAGGCAATGTAAGTTGTACTGGTAGTGTTCTTTCTATGGGTCAGAGCCTTGGGCTGGCTTAACGGTATTGATTTGCGGTTATTTGGTTAACGATTTTGTTTTGATGCTTGGTTGTTGTGTAACTTCATGTATTGTTTAATGTGTTGGTTTCATTGTTTTCATGTGTAACTTGTTGTCACGTACAGGGCATTCCTGAAAAGCAGTGTTTTTAAATAGCACTGAGGTCTCTACACTGTTTAAATAAAACAGAAATAAATAAATAAATAGGGTGTTCTCACTCCTTCAGTCTTTTCGTCACTATTGTCATTGGGTGTGAGCTTATCAAATCCTAACAACATATCAGCTGCTAGCCTGGTTACCAAACCTATTATAGCTCCCGAGTCCTACATCCTCTCCGCAAATG